TGCATGGGCCCCCCCCCCCCCCCGCCCCCCCCCAATAAAGTAAACTCTGCCACTGGCGTAAGAAATTATACCTGCCTTGTGTATACTAGGATTTTATATTGCACTAGGTGCTGTGATGTGGACTTCTTTTATACAGATGGGATGGTCCTAGTGTAGATGAGGCAATGCCGGACCCCAGAGTGTTACCTATGATAGTCAAGCTTTCACTAGAAAAATACTAAAAAATACTGTGCTTAATGAACATTTTTAACTGGGGTGCTGTCTTACTAAAGATGAGTCACAGATAGCTTGAACTAGTGCTGCTCATTGAGATAACCCTAGTCATGTTAATTAAAATAGGGGCTATCTGGATTTGCTTAATACTGGTTAAAAATATACCTTTTATCCCAGTAGACACAGCCTGCGTTATGTAGGCCAGCTCTGAACAGGGATAAGCGACAGTACAATTAAAACACTGGCAACCAGTCTTCACAGACGCCATTGTCGTTCCTTCTGCCAAGGGAGTTGCAGACACGGTGGGAAATTTTAGGGAAATAAAGTGTAGCCTGTCAGGCTGTGAGAGTGAGGAACACTTGCTATGGGAAATCCTGGTGACAAGAAATTATGACTGTATTTAGTTCTACAGGCAGTAATGTTAGTAGCCATTCTTATTGCAGCTCTTCTTTACATAAAAGTAAGAGAGCAGATCCTGCTCTGAGGTAATTATAATCTATTTACAGTACAGCTACCTTGGTTTCCTGGGCAGATCTATTAAAAAAATCAGTTTGTTTTAATACTCAGGGAGCATATTCCTATGGCATGAAGGCACATGTAAAACATCTTGATGCCTGCAAGTTGCCATGTACATTGTGATGCACCAAGTCCTTCAAAATAGAGCTTTGCCTCCTTCCTGCCTCCGAATCAGTAGTTCCCAAGCAGCAATGCATGTCGAGGTACCGGTATTGCCGGTTTTCTGGACTCCTGTTTTGGGCTTGCCTGGCCTATTATAATAAAGAGCCTTTGCACAGAGAGCTAGTATAATGTCACTACTTGCCCTCCATCCCACTGCACAAGTTTTGACCTGCACTATGTCTTTGGCTTCTCCAGAAAAGTCTGGCAAGCAGCTCTTTGCAGGCTAGTGCAGGCACAAATGAATAGGAGGAGGTGGTGCATGCTAGCTGGAATAAATAGTGCAGTTACTGAACAGTCTGGGAACGACTGCTCTAAGCCATTATTCAGCTCTATCGCAGCACACGCAATGTTGCAATCCTTTGGCGTACGTGAACTTTCACCCTTGCAGGCACTATAGGCATTCTTAAGGACTTGCCTACACACAAGTTTAATTAACTGTTTCATGTCCTTTTAATTTTTGCTACTATTTTTTTAGCCCCTGTTTGCAGCGGAATTTTAAAAAGCATCAACAGGTTTGAGCTGAAATGGCAAACGATGTCAGGTTTGATATCAAGCGCAAGTTTGTGTGAAAAGCAGCCTTAAAAAAGACCCATCATTTCTCTGTATTGAGAGGGCAGTTACAGAAGAACACCAGCTGTCTGGAGAAGTGTTCCTCCTGTATGCAAGGATAGGGGGGGATATCTGGTCTGTCTAGCATATTTTTTATATTAAGTGAAACTTTGTTTTAGACTCATCCTCAAACTCCCAGCCAAAAGCTATTTGGGTCCCAGTCTCTAAACTGTATTGGATCAGGAAAGCAATTTTCACATAGCCTTAGAAGATATGGTGAAAACTTACTGAGTGGGGCAAAGAGGGCAGAAACAGTGCGGGGACAATGTCCCTCTTTTTAAGGAGTCCTGCTGTGAGGATGAAGCTACCTGAATTGGTACCCCCAGCCAGTCTGTAGGATAGAGCAATGGTTCTCAACCAGGATGCTGTGACACCCTGGGGTGCCTTGACATCTTTCAGTGGTGCTGCAGGGTGCCACACAATTAGGTGTGCAAACATGATTCATAAGATAAACCCAGAGGCTTCAAAGAGATATTCATAATGTCAAAAATATTCTGACCTGTTGTGGTCTTTCTGAATTTTTTGCAATAGAAGAATTGCTCTGTTTATTTTGCTGTAGTCAAAAAACAAGTGAAATCTAAGAGCAGGCGTTTCTGAGGGAGTCCTCGAGTTTAAAAACATTGAGAACCACTGGGAAAGAACATAGAGAGCAGGTGTGTCAGCAACACGCTGGGAGATGGAGCAGGTACACGCTTCAGCCCCTTTAGGTGCCCTATGAGAGACAGAAAGGAAATTTGAGCAGCTCTGGAGCTGCTGTTACTTGCATCGGGGCTGGGAGGACATCTCCGTACTATGGGAAGTATTTAGAATCTCCCCAGCCCTCCTGCAGAGATGAGAACAATGATGGAGTCACAGAGAATGCATTTTTCCAGTATCCTGCTTTTACTTTGAAATACTCTTATATGCCCCTTTTACTTGCCATTAAACTTCACAGGGCCTGGGGTAGCAGGTGGATGGCTTTATATCCACTTTACAGGGTGAAAGACCGAGGCACCGAAAAACTGAGTATTTTACTCAAGACCACAGAGCCAGTAACAGAGAATGCGCCCTTGCTGCTAGGCCATGTCCTCCTCTCAATGTCACAGAAAATCCCGTGTTCTGTCTTAAAAGGAAACATACATTTTAATTGATATCAGCTCAATGAAAGCCTGACCCTGGTCTTACAATGGGAATTTTACCCTTGACTTCAATGGGAGAATGATCAAGGTCCCATGGTACTGCAGTGCAAGGGAAGGAAAATACCATGGTTTAACTCAGTAAGATAAATGGTTTATACTTAATGTAACCCAGGGTATTCTTGCAATAAATGGCTTGATAGATTGATTAAATGTCTCAACTTCATTTCAGCTATTAATCAGTTTCAGCAGCTGTTTATTGTTTTGTATACTTCAAAGCAATAGAGATTATCCCTTAATTATCTCATTGTAGTCCATTCCTTGTTTGCTAAATGGTGCCATTACAATGGCAAATTACAATAGTGAAATGGAGTCAATCTAAAGTTATGGAGTCCCCTTTTTATGATGCAATCTAGCAGAGATGTAATTGTGATTTCAATGCAAATCCTAAAATCCTTATTATACTATATTAGAAGTTGTGAAGAGACAACATTTTAATGCAAGTCTTTAGGGACCTTGTTCTCACCAAAGCAAAACAGAATATAATCTCCTTTGAAATGTGCATACATGCAAAAATCAGTACTTGTTAAACAAGGGTGTATTTGATCACTTCCAGTTTTTCTGAGTGATGCAAGTTCCAAAGAACTGGTGTCTTTGAGTACAATGTCATAGTTTCTTTTTGTCAAAATAGTAAAAAAAAAAGAAGGAAAAAAAAAAAAGAAGAAAACCCTGGATAATATGATCATTCAGAGAGACACATTGATTAACTGCAGAAAGCATTAAGATACCCAGACCAATCCTAAAAATGATGAGCAATAAAGGTTAAAGTTTTGTCAACAATTTCCATTCTAAAAACCTCTCTCCAGGTTATTATTTTGTAAATCTTTAATTGTCTGTGTTGTTTATATTACGCTGAATTGCTCTAAAAAATATTAATATTATTGCCAACTGCAAAAAGTTTGATTCTGACCTCAAAAACTAAGAGTGTAATCTTTTTCTTAAATATCTTATTTGTCTATGGGCCACAGTGGCTTTTGAATTCTCCTTACTCATTCCTTTTGTGTAGAGCTACACTGCAGAAAAAGGTGTTCTCCTAACTTGGGTTAAAATAGCAAGGAAATAAATTTAACTTGGCTATTAGCTACGTTTAACAGCTCAAATTCAACACCAGGCTTCCCTTCAGACTTGAATTGAAGGGACTTTCATTCCAAAACCCAACTAAGATTGGGACGCTGTTGGAGCAGCACCTGTCCTGAAGAAGTTACGGTCTAGCACAATGGTTCTAGAGGTGTACTGATATATCATATATCAGTGCCATATCGGATTGACACTGATTATAAGGAAGATTGGCAGTATTGGCAATCAGCTTTTATTGGCTGATGTGGCCAATAATGTCGCTGATACATGCCCTGTGCATGCGTGCAGCCACAGTGCAGCATCCAGGCGGTCAGGAGCACAGCCCAGCAGCATTGAGAACAGCTGGGTCCAGCTGGTCAGTCTGTTGTGAGGGGAGAGAAGGGAAGGGGTGGGGGTTGTTGACTGAGGCCCCAGCGGTGAGGGAGGGAGGGAGTGGGGCTGGGGCTGAAGCAGTGGCAGGCATGGGACAGAGTCGTGAGTGGCTCGTTTGAGGGGTGTTGGGGGTTGGGCGGCTCCTGCTGCTGCACACACCCCAGGTGGGCATGAGGGGCGTGTGCCCCCATATCAGCACATGGGGC